GATTTGAATAGATGTTTCTCAAAAAAAGACATTTAAATGGGTAATAGGCATACAAAAAGGTGATCAACACCACCGATCATCAGAGAAATATAAATCAAAATTACAATGAGATGTCGTCTCACTCCAGTTAAAATGGCTGATATCCAAAGACAGGCAATAAGAAATGCTAGTGAGGATGTGGAGGTAAGTGGACCCTCATACAATGTTGGTGGGAATGTAAATTAGTATGACCACTATGGAGAGCTGTTTGAATGTTCCTCAAAAAACTAAAAATAAAGCAACCATATGATCCAACAACCCTACTGCTGGGTATATACCCCACATAAAAGGAAATAAGTATATTGAAGAGACATCTGCATTCTTATGTTTGTTGCAGCACTGTTTACAATAGCTAAGACTTCAAAACAACCTAAATATCCATCAACAGACAAATGGATAAAGAAAACATAGTACATATACACAATGTAGTTCTATTCAGCCACAAAAAAAATGAGATTCAGTGGTTTGCAACAACATGAAGGGAACTGGAATTACTTTAAGTGAAATAAGCCAGGCACAGAAGGACAAATATAGCATGTTCTCACTTATTTGTGGGATCTACAAATAAAATAATTGAACGAATGGACATAAAGTATAGAAGGATAGTTACCAGAGACTCAAAAGTGTAGTGGGGGGTGGGAGGGGAGGTGGAGATGAATAAGACCTACTCTATGATAGCACAACAGGGTGACTATAGTCAATAATAATTAAATTGTACACTCTAAAATAACTTAAAGAGTGTAACTGAATTGTTTGTAACTCAAAAAATAAATGCTTAAGGGGATAGATACCGCATTTTCCATGACATGCTTATTTCACATTGCATACCTGTATCAAAACATCTCATGTACCCCCAAACATATTTATACCTACTATGTACCCATAAAAATTAAAGAAGATAAAAGATGAATCTGTGTATAAATTATACATTACTATATATAATAATACAAATAAAAATAATAAAATGTTTCAAAACATAAAGTAAGCATATAATTTAGTCATGAAATTGGTGTCTTGAAAAAAACAGGGATTAATTTCATATCAAAATAACATATGTTGCTTAAACATTAAATTATACTCTCAGATTTATGCGTATATATGACTGTATTTGTGTATCTGTGTGTGGCAAGGGTTGCAAGTTGCAATGGTTTGCAATTTGCACACTTTCCAAATCCACCATTTTGAACATTCTAGCAGATTCTTCTGAACATACATTCACATTTTTAAATAAAGACTCTGTTTCTATTTCTTACTTATCCTTTTGTAGATTATATTTAATAATTTTTATTATGAGAGATGAGAATTTTAATCTCCATCTTCACCTCATATTTGAACATACCCACAGATAGACATACTCACTTTTTCACATGCTTTTTTCCAGAATATATTTAGATGACAATTTTTATGATATCAGTATTCATTGCTTACATCATTCTGACTACACAAATATGGTTCTCTGGTAAGACAGCTATGATTAAATTATATTTTTAGTACTTTCCTGGGCTTAACCATGTCTCTATTTCAATTTGTAATTTTCTGTTTCCCAAGTTAGAATTATTTACAAATGTTCAGGCAGATGTTTGAAACTCTTTTTTAGTTACTGGAAACTCCCATAAAATCTGTCACATCTCTTGTTCTTGCTGTCTCCTCTCACTTCTGAATTATCCGCCAGGTCCATTCTGAAGTAGTTCTTTTCTAGGTCTGGTGCTACGCAGCCTCCCTGACACTCTCATTCTCCTATGTGAGTTTTCCTGATTGCTAGAGCTCAGGACATTCTCTAACTAGGTTTCAGGCATTTGAATAAAGTGCATTCTCCAACATTTTTCTGAGAAAGGGAAAATAGAAGGTAAAATTTTTGGCAAACATGCAAGTCTGAAAACACCCTATTTCTATTAATATACAAGATAATATTAATAGTTCTTGAGAATTCTGAATCCTAATTCTTTCACTATAACCTGGTATAGCTCTGAAAGTTTTTGTGATTTTCCATTTAATTCTCATGTCCTGAAATTCCATAACCCTGGGTCTAGCAGTCTTCATTTCATTCACTCTGTTGGATATTGAAGATAATTTTCTGTTAAGATGGCAAAAGAAAAATGTCATTTCTCTAGATCAGTTCCCTTTCTGTGGGATAAAGCTAGCTACTGAATTTTAGGAAGCAAGATGCATAAAAGAGCTAAGAGTCTTTGAATTCAAGGAGCAGATCTGTACCAAATCTGCCTTTCAAGCCTACACCTCATGCCTTTTCTGGCACTTCCCTGTGTCCCTGAGTACAGGGCTTCTTAAACTCAGTTTCTCTAGAGAATAAGCCTCCTTTTCCTTGTGGGAAAAAATTAGTTACCTGATGAAAAGAGTTGTGGAGGAAACGTAGGCAGGGAGAGCCTCCTCTTTCAGTCTCATTCTCCACCATCTTTGACCCTTGGTACTTCCAAATACCAGTTGGGGGGATTTAAGGGACACTGATTAACTTTTCGTCCTTGATAAATTTTTCTCTTCTGACTTTTTGGTTACAGGTTTATCCTCTGTGTACAGATTTATCATTCCTCTATATGCTCTCTGTGTTTTAGAAATTTGTTAAAGTCTTCTTGACTATCTCCTGTACTCTTCCTACATTAAAAGACCTAAATGTCTAATATCCAAAATCTATAAAAAATGTAAACAAATCAACAAGCATTAAACAAAAAAATCAATTAAAAATGGGCAAAGGACATGAACAGGCACCTCTCAAAATGTGACATACAAGCAGCCAACAAATATATGAAAAAATGCTCAACATCACTAATCATCAGAGAAATGCAAATCAAAATCACAATGAGGTACCATCTCACACCAGTCAGAATAACAATTATTAATATTAAAAAGTCCAAAAACAACAGATGCTGGTGAAGTTGCAGAGAAATTGAAATACTTTTATACTGTTGGTGGGTATGCAAACTAATTCAGTCACTGTGGAAACCAGTTTGGATATTTCTGAAAGAACTTAAAATAGACCTACCAGTTGACCCAGCAATCCCACTAGGGAGTATATGCCCTCAAAATATTTATTCTCTCAAAAAGACACACACCTCACTATGTTCACTGTAGTGCTTTTCACAATAGCAAAGAAATGGAATCCACTTATGTGCTCATCAACATTGGATTGTACAAGGAAAATGTGGTAAATAGACACTGATATGGTTAGGCTGAGTCCCCACCCAAATCTCATCTTGAATTCTAGCTCCCATAATTCCCACATGTCATGGGAGGGACTCATTGGGAGGTAATTTAATCACGGAGGCCGGACTTTCCCATGCTGTTTTCACGATAGTGAATAAGTCTCTATCAGAGACTTATTGTGAGGCCTTTCCAGCTGTGTAGAATTGAGAGTCCATTAAATCTCTTTCCTTTACCCCATCTCAGGTATGTCTTTATTAGCAGCAGGAGAACAGACTAATACATTCTCAATGAAATGTTATACCATCATAAGAAAGAAAAAAATTATGCTTTTTGCAGGACGATAGATGAAGTGGGAGGCCATTATCCTAAGCAATCTAACACAAGAACAGAAAACCAAATACCACATGTTCTCACTTATAAGTGGGAGGTAAACATTGAATACACAAGAACTTAAAGATGGGAACAATAGACACTGAGGATCACTAGATGGGGGAGGAGGGGAAGGGATGTGGGCTGAAGAACCATCTACTGGGTAATATGTTTACTGTCAGTGTGATGAAATAGCTGGGACCCCAAGCCTCAGTGTTACACAACTTACCTATGGAACAAACCTGTATTTGTACCCTTTAATTTATAATAAAAGTTGAAAAAAAATCATCTAGAACTCAATAGGCTAGTAACTGTTCCAAAAAAAGGCCTAATTCTTATTCGTAATTGGCTTATTGTCATTTCAATGGGGGATACTGACATAGGAGAAAAAAAGAATATTTCTTATGTGCAGCATAACCTAAAGTCGCTAAAAGTAAATTTCTAAAGTAAAGTTGTTCATAAAAGGTAAAATTATTGACTCTTTAAAAAAAAATCTTATTTTGTCCAATACCAATTACATGGAAATTGTCTCAGGTACATATTCTGCCTAAATGGAACATTCTTTAGGTAACTCTTCTAGTAAACAGAATTACCTTTCTTATGAATCTAACTTTTTAGAGTACTTATTGGACTAGGAATTTTCTCAGGCAGACTCATTACATTTCTAGGATTACCATTTATCCTTCAATAAGGAGAGTTTCCAGTTTCCCTACTCCAGCATTCAAACCTGAAATTTTGAGAATGAGAAGAGTTATCTTCAAGAATATACTTGCTATTTAAAATGGCCTTCTCATAATAAAACCAACATGCAATCCCAGGCCAATTTATCTTGTCTCTTCCTGCTAGAAATCGTTGTCTATGAAATCCAGACATGCTGGACCAGAGCTCTGTTGCTTTTGCCACTGTCATGCTATCTTCATTTCTCTCAGTTACCTTCCTCTACCGTGGAAAGATGACCTTTTTTATTTTCTTCTTCTGTTTTTTTCTTTCTGAGACAGAGTCTCACTCTGCTGCCCAGGCTGTAGTGCAGTGGCAAAATCTTGACTCACTACAGCCTCCGTCACCTGGGTTCAAGCGATTACGGTGCCTCAGCCTCCTGAGCAGCTGGGATTACAGCCGTGTGCCACGATGCCTGGCTAAATTTTGTATTTTTATTAGAGATGGGGTTTGGCCATGTTAGCCAGGATGGTCTTGAACTCCTGTCTTCAAGTGATCCACCCACCTCAGCCTCCCAAACTACTGGGATTACAGGTGTGAGCCACCATACCAGGGCAATATATCCCATTTTAATCACCATTAGTTTGGAACATATTACAGCTGGAAGCACAGAAATTTAAATAATGAAGCTCCTCTAGGAGAATCACGAAGGAGGACACTAGCAACACCTTCCCAACATCTTTTCTGAAAACCAATTTACTCATTATCTGTGATCATACCTGTGACCTCTGGGTGCTTCAGCAGGAGAAGGAGAGCATATCTCAGGGTTGTGCTTGTCGTCTCTGTCCCAGCTGCAAACAAGTCAACTGCAGCGTTTTCCAAGTTTTCAATAGTAAATTCAGACTGTTGGTTGTGCTTTTCCTAGGAATGATTTAATGCAATTATCTGACAAATTATTTACCAGCATATTTGATTACAGTGAGTTCAAAATTACTCACATTGTTATATAGTTACCAACATAGAAACTGGAAAGCATACTACTAGAAAAAAATACTGTATGGTGTAGCAGAAGCTATAGACCAACTTGCCCAAGTTTTATTTCCTACCCCCTTGTTCCATGCTTGCCTTAAAAATTCCATTCATCAGGCTCTTTGCAGTTAGCTGAGTCACACAGCATAGTTTTTTGCCAAAAAATATAAGCAGAAAGTCTCTAGGTCCACTTCTTCTATTTCCTCTTTCATACCCAAAACACAAATGTGAAGTAGGAGGTAGAGTAGACTCCATCCTGGGATTTAATCATGAAAATGAAGGTCTGTATACTAAATTTAGTGGGAAAAAGGAAGGCCCTTTACTCTCTACTGCTTTGGGGCTGCTATATTATCCCTAGATTGCCCCACTGTGAGATTCTCTGTATTTGAGATAAGTAAAGACATTATGTGTTAAAGTCATTATTACCTGTAGACAACTGCAATCTAAATTAATAAAAAAAGTAAATTAGGGCCATATCATTAGATACTGTGAGCCTGAATCAAGAGTCTGCAATTATCTTCTTCTGTCAGAAAGGTACATGGACTCAATATTGCCTCTGGATTCATTACAAAGTTGAAATTTTGTAAAAACAAATATGAAAAAAGCAATATGACAGCAAAACGTAGGATAAATCATAGAGAAAGAGAATGGGTTTGCAATGACAAGACGGGCCCACACTATTATAATCTAGATGGGAGGCAACAGACAACTTGTTCTAGGATGCAGTAGTGCAGGAATAAATAAAAAATATACAAAGTGAAGAGAGAGGACAATGATGAAGATGGAGAATAAAGCAATTAATTGTCACAGGGGATAAAGGAGAGATTACGAGTAATGCGTATGCCAAGGCTCAGAGGCTGGAGTTCTCATAAATTTGAAGTTAGGAGAAAGAAAGCAATGGATAAGGAATACTTAGTTGAAAGAGATCACTAATATACAAAACATACCACTTTTTAACCAGTCCCTAGGCCAGTAATAAATTAATGATGCTTTTAGAGTCTCCAAGTGATGTGTGTCATATTGAATACTGTGTAATCAACACCACTGAAATAGACTAGATCCACTCAACATGTCTACTAACTAGAGAAAGACAATCCTCTCCCTTGGTAACATCAGCTTCATACAGTTTGCTAAGCTTGTCATGTTAAAAATCATTCTTAAGTAAGAACAGTGCACTCACAAAACCAGTATTAACATTTCCATCTGTTGACTTGAGCTTGGTTATTTAGCAGTTGTGTGCCTATCCTATCTTATTAATGATAGTAGCCATATTCTACTTGCTGTGCTCAAATCTAAAGAGCACCCCTTCTACGTCAGAGGCAGGCCAGGGCATTGTCCTGCACCTCACC